TTTAGTGTGGAAAGTAAATAAAATGGTTAGGTATTTATAGAGAAAAAATACAGAATTTTTGGGTATTTTTTAAAAAAAAATTCAGATTTTTTTCGATTTTTTTGCAATTTTTTTAGCCAAAAAAACGAGGACCGTCGGATTTCTGGAAAAAATCCATCGGAGAGTCCTCGTCGCGCCACGTGGCACACGCCCGTTGGAGCTGTCAGGAGGTGACGCCAGCGATGACGTCACCAAACTCGGGCTTCAGCTCGGGCAAGAATTGCCCTTGGGCTTCCTCGGGCTGATAGGACCCACCACGAAACCGGACTACGGGCCCTGCACTGGAGCTTGCTCGGGCTCTCTCTGGCAGCCTTTTACCCGAGTTGGGTTGGGCGCTGGAGATGCTCTTATGCCGTCAGCCACTAACCAAGTACAAGGAATGAGTGAGGAGTGAGAAGATATGATAAATAAAAAAAGGTCCTCCAAGTAGGCAGGCAGGTTACCACCACCAACAGTCCAAAACCTCCACAAGAAAGCATAACTTCATCCAGATGCTCTCTACAACTCCTCCCACCCAACAACCTTCATGTTTCTTGCATTTATTTAGTAATAAAATTAGAACAAGTACAAAGTGATTGTGATTTCTCAGCTCACTCGCTACCTCACTCTCAATCCCAATCCCAAAAATTCAACAATGGCCTCTTCCTCCTCCACTCTTGTGCTCTCAACCCTTTTCTCTTCCCATCCTCACCAAACCCTAAACCCCAACAAGAACAAGAGCCCCTTCTCATCACATACAAAGAGACCCTTCTCATCCCTCACCCTCAAAGTTTCATCCTTTGTCAAACCTAAACAACCCCCTCCGTTTCACATCCCCCATAATCATCAAATTCGATTGTCCCGCCAATTTCGTACCTACATCACCGTCAGAGATGGTGCTGATGGTGGTGGTGGTGATGGCGATGGAAATGAGCAACCAGTGGTGGGCGAGGACTCAGCTGAGTTCATTTTGTCAAAGCAGAAGATATCTTCGTGGGTTTACTTCACTGCAATTCTGGGTTCGGTTCTTTTTATACTCAATGTGGCTTGGATCGATAATTCCACCGGGTTTGGGAAGCCCTTCGTCGATGCAGTCTCGGAGCTTTCTGATAGCAAAGAGGTTAGTGTGTTTGTTTCCCAATCTCATGGTGCTAATTTAATTGACCTGAACTGTATTGTTAGAAATTGGTGTCAGCTTGTTTGTATGTTGAGGAAATTAATTGCAACTATCTATAACATCATTAATCATAATGGGTTTTTACTAAATGAGTGTTATTGGGAAATCAGAAAAGCTTACTCTTGGATTGAATTTTTTTACTACACTCAATTTTAGTGTGTTTTAGTCTTTATATTAAAACAATCTCCATGGTAGATGTGAGCAGGGATGATACAGAATTATTAGACTACAACTTTTGAACCATAGAGTGGAAGTGAGGAGAAGAGGGTGTGTAATGAGGATGTGGATGTGGATGGAAAAAGTTATGAATGTTTAGTTGGAATCGTGATAAAAGGTCTGTTGTATAAACTTTAAATGTTGAATTCGGATTGGGGAAACAGTTCCTGGGCTATGATGTGAATTACGTTGCCTATAATGACGAGGATAATGGGGGTGACAATGTCCATACAGAGCAGTTGTATGGTAATCTGGTTTAAAACTTGTTTCCTGGAAATAGGATAGAATATTCATTTGGTTGAATTTTGTAACAAGAGCATGCAAATTCCATTCTGGTTTACTGGTGCTTGCAAATGCCTCCCTTTTTATGATTATTTGCTCTATTGAGCTGTAAGATGTGATAACAGTTTTAGTTACAATGTCTGAGGTTTGCAATGGTATTCTGCAGGTTGTGATGTTGATCCTAATTCTAATATTTGCCATTTTCCATAGTGGCTTGGCTAGTCTACGAGACACTGGTGAGAAACTTATTGGAGAACGTGCTTACCGTGTTTTGTTTGCGGGGACATCTTTACCGCTGGCTGTTAGTACTGTTGTGAGTTCCTTACTCTCAATAAGGAGGACTATCCTTTTTTTATATCTAACCTCATTCCTTGCCACTTTTTCTGTTTTGAATTCTTTTGTTGTTGGTGTGGAGGGAATTGACTTCGAAGGATTTGTGGTTCAGGTGTATTTTATCAATCATAGATACGATGGAGTACAGTTATGGGAGCTCAAGAATGCATTTGGCATCCATGAATTTGTATGGCTCTCTAATTTTATCTCGTTCTTGTTCCTCTATCCGTCCACTTTCAATCTACTAGAGGTAGCAGCTGTTGACAAGCCCAAAATGCATCTTTGGGAAACTGGGATTATGAGAATCACCAGGCATCCACAGGTGACTAATTCGTAATCTATACATTTTTAAGTCATTTAGCATTTTGGGCCTTGGGTTGAATGCTGGTGTGTGTTCTGATCATCTAGGTGGCCAGAATTAACCTTAAATCTACTTATACCATCAATAATACAAATTATTATATTACCAACATGTTCAAGTTTGGGTTTGATTTTTTTCCTCTCTCACTCACTCACTCATGTACTAAGACAATTTGGGAATGGATGTGTTTTTTCAGCTGGTTGGGCAGGTGATATGGTGCCTGGCTCACACGATTTGGATAGGGAACTCAGTGGCAGTGGCAGCTTCTGTTGGTCTAATCGGGCACCACCTATTTGGTGCTTGGAATGGTGACAGGAGATTGGCGGTGCGACATGGCGAGGCCTTTGAAGTTGTGAAGAGGCGAACAAGTATCATACCATTCGCAGCCATTCTTGATGGCCGGCAAAAGTTGCCGAACGATTACTACAAGGAATTTATTCGGTTGCCATATCTCTCTATCACTGTATTGACCTTAGGTGCATACTTTGCTCACCCCCTTATGCAGGCAGCCAGTTTTCGGCTCCATTGGTAGGAATACAATACATTTCGTACTGGATAATGAACGTGAAAAGCTCGAAACTGTATATAAATTGTGTATGAGAGAAAAGTTAGGTTCCTCAATATGCTAGAAGTTCATCATAGGCATAAGCATGTTGTATGGAACTCCCAAGAAATGTAAGTATAGAACCTGCACACGCAGCAATATCAATTATCAAGTTTACCAATCTCCCAACTGATGTACTTTCTTTCACTATGGCTCTGTTATTAACCTCAGGGGTTTTGTTTCACATAACCCGGGTAAAATGAAGTTTTAACATGATTTCCTAAAACCTGTTAATCATAAACAAATATGACACAATCTCTTAAAATACCAAAATAACCTGACAAAGTTAAATAATATTCAACCGTCCTTGCATATAAACAAAAGACACCTTGTTTGAAATATTTAAGTAATCCAAAATATTTTTCTCTCGTCTGAAAATATTACTAAATCAAAGGAAGGTTTTTTTTTCTTCTGCAAAACATCATAATCAAATAAATGATTTATTTTTGGTTTTTAGAGAGTCAAATAAATTGATTTAGAGCACTTCCACTCATGTTGTCATGGCAAAGGCAAGGACAAGGAAGGGTAGATACTATTCACATGAATAATGACTGCCCTACCTTTTTTTGTTTTGCTTTTCAACCAATTGCCATGGCAAATAAAGGAAAACACTATTCACATGAGATATGAGGAGAGAAATTTGTATGGAGTTTTGGTGTGGGAAGTGTGACATGGCTAGGTATTTTTAGAAGAAAAAACAATATGATTTTTTTTGTATTTTTTCCTTCTTTTTGTAAAATTTAAATTGGTCGCTAACGTCAAACCTAGGCAGAAGCTTAGGCAATTCTTGCCTTTGGGATGGCATGGGTAAATGGGGCCCAAGTTTGCCCAGGCTCCCTTTTGCTCTGGCAAATGAGCACCGGTGGAAGTGCTCTTATATAACACAAGCTAGTGACAAGGACTGGCTAGTGCTTACGCTTGGATTTTATTTGATAAGCCACTAAATCTAAGAGGTATGTTGAAGGAGGAAATTAAGGTAGAGATAGAATGATTCTTCATTTTAGGAGATTATGAGAGATAAGTTATGAGTTGTCATTATCCTATCATCTAGTGAGGATTAGATTGGATAAGTTTTATTCATGAGTAATTTATCTTCTACCTTCTACTTGGGCAATAAATGTTCATTTCTTTCTTTAACATGCTTTAAATATAGAGAGTTATCTTAAACAATCTAATATTATGCACCGAAAGAACGGGCATAATTTCAACTTACAAGACATTGAAAACATAAATTAGTTTTAATTTCATTTTTAAAAAGGGAAAAGCAAGAAACTTCGTTGGAAATTGATTTATTTTCCAAATTCAAAAGAAAGCTGAAAAAAGTTTCGTATAGTTTTTCAAACAAAATCTATTGAGAGAGTTGGCTGTTTTGAAACAAAATCTATTCAAAGAGTAGGGAATGGGCTCTGACGCACACAACAAGACACAAGACCTAGGCCCCAAGATCCCACTTGGATTTGGACCCACAATTCTGAGGCTCCAACTTCAACACAAGATTAGGACCCAAGACTATAAATTCGAACTTGAATGCGAGGGGACGAATTTACCTATCAATCTTAGAGGCATAAAGATTATGATAATTTACAAAATTCAATTCAAACCATCTTCTTAAAAAAAATTGAATATAGTTATGGATTGTGACCGAGTCGTAAAGCAAGGAAAAAAGAAGACTGGTTGTTGTTTTATAATCCAAATCCATGCCCACAAACCTTCAAAATCAAAACAACTGGATGCCTAAAAGTGGTTAACCCGTAGACCAAAAAGGGCAAAAACTAACCCATCATTCATTCACCGGCTGCAAAAAAAATCCTTTGGAAAAACACAAAGGAGAGAAATTTTGTAAAAGAAGTCAAAATGGACAAAATTGCCCTTATTTATTTTTGGATTTCCTAAGGAATCATTTACATTTGCATGTCTTTGATTTGAAAGTTGAGAGGTTTTTTTGTCTTTTTTGAAATTTTTTTGGCTTTTTCCAAAAGTGAATTCTTTTTTTTGGCTAAAACCTAAATTTATTAAAAAATTATAATAAAGAAAAAGAAAAGAAAGCAAATCACTAACAAGGGAAAGAAAGGGTTGAATCAGCGGTTGAGGGACTTTTACAGTACGGAAACTCTGTGTGTGGGGCTGTGGGCCCCACTGCTGCCACAGTAAAGCCTCTCCCACCAACTTGTGAGTCTTCTTCTTCAGCCGAAAAAAGGAAGGAAAAAAAAAAAGAAAAAAAGAAAAGACTTTACAAATTTCTCATTCTCTCTTCTTCTTCTGAGTCTCTCTCTCTCTATGCCATTGCCAGCCAGAAGCCCACAAACATGGCTTCAACGACGACGACCATGGCGATCATGGATATAGCGACGCTCACTCTGAGAAGCTCCTTTGGCAGCTTTGCTCTGTTGTTCGTGCTCTTGATTTCGACCAAAGTCACGACCAGCGTCGCTCTAAACAACGCCTTTTTGAGCGTCAAGTACAAGTACGCAGGCCGCGAGCCTTCCTTGAGTGCCCTTAAAGCTCACGATACCCAGCGGACCCTTCGGATTCTCGCCGGCGTTGATCTCCCTTTGGGTGGCTCTGGCCGCCCTGATGCCGTCGGGTGAGCATCTCTTCCCTTCCCTATTCTTCATATACCTCTGTGTGTATTTCTTGTTATTTTGAAAGGGGTAATTATTGTTTCTCTTGTTTTGTAGTCTGTACTACGCTAAAATTGGCATTGGAACACCTACGAAGGACTACTATGTGCAAGTTGACACTGGAAGTGATATTATGTGGGTCAACTGTATTCAATGCAAAGATTGCCCACAAAAAAGCTCACTTGGTGTATGAGATTGAAACCTCTCCCTTCGTTTCTTTATGGTTTTTGTTTTTGTTTTGCTTCTGAATTGGTGGTGAATTAGTATTGTTTTGCTTATTTGGGTTATTTTTCTCTGACAGATTGATCTTACACTATATGATGTTAAGCAGTCTTCCACTGGTAAATTGGTTACTTGTAATCAAGAATTTTGCTTAGAGGTGAATGATGGTCCACTGTCTGGATGTGCGGGTAATATGTCATGTCCCTATCTACAAATATACGGAGATGGCAGCTCCACTGCTGGTTATTTTGTCAAAGATGTTGTGTTTTATGATCGAGTGTCTGGTGACCTCCAAACTACCTCTGCCAATGGGAGCGTCATTTTTGGGTAATTTCTTTCTACTTGGTATGCTATTTTCTACTTGATTTGAAATCATTATTTAATGAGGCTTCTGTGTGGTAAGTTTAACATATAACTCATTGAAAAAAAATCCCAAATCAATTACTAGTTCAGCCATGTTTGGAATATAAGTGGTCAAATTAGTGATAGCAAACTTAGCCGTGCTTAATGGAGGAGAAATATATGCTATGCTCAGCTGTAATCTAAAAATTGGATATGTGGATAGTAGAAGGTAGAGATGAGAATCTTCTTTGTTTTTTCCATGTAGTTCTTACATTTAGAGAGTAATGTGATAGCCACTCTTTCTAGATTGCTACCGTCTTCTTTGATTTGGAAGGCTAAACTCCTTCCTAAGGTACAAATTCTTACTTGGATAGTTTCTTATGGTAGGGCTAATACCTGGAGTTTGATTTAAAGGTGAAGAACAAATGTTTGTCTTTCTCCCAATTGGTGCATAAATGTGTAAAGAAGGGAGTGGAAGTGTGAATCATTTGTTTCTTCATTGTCCTATAGCCTTAAAGTTGTGGTGGAGGCAGTTTAGGAAAGTTAATTTGAGTTGGGTTATTCAAGCTGTGTTTTCCCCCCCTTTGTCATGAGAGGTACAAGGCCTTTGGCAGAAGAAAGAAGTCCCAAGTCTTATGGAGTTGCAAAAAAGTGCTTTAGGTAATTTGATGGATAGGGGTAAGAGGATTTTTCAGTCACAACGGGAAGGGAGGAGGTTTTATGGGATAAAGTCAGATTTTGGTTTTCACTTTGGGCTTCAGTGTCTACAAAGTTTTGGGATATTTTGTTATCTTCTATTTTGGCAGATTGAACACACAGTTTCTTAAGAGTCTTTTTGTGTTTGTGTGTGTATAGATTTCTGTTCGTTGTTAGGAAAGGGTGTGTGACTGCTAGGTAGTTTAATTTTCATTGATGTGTTGCTGTGGCAGACAACTTGTTAATGCTGGTAGTACGTATTTGTTCTTATTAATAAAATACTTTTCTTCCAGAGGAAAATTTGGTAGTGGTCCAAGATACAAAAGAATTGTTAGATAGAAGGCTTTTGATTTGTCCATTAGAGTAATAAAATTAAGAAATAAGCTCTTAGTGGATAAACCAATAATATGTCCTTCCAAAATCTTAAAAAAAAAATAAAAAATTTGCTTTCGACTCAACTAAGTCCTTTTCCCATATAGAGGAAGTTGGGTAAAGCACATGAACTCTTTTTTCTTTTGTGTTCTATTTCCCCACATCTAAATGGACTGAAGTTTGTGTAACTCTTATGCTGAGTAAAACTCTTTATGCAGAAGTTATTACTTGTATCCTTACCAATAGTGACCAAAGTGAACAAACATCTGTGATTTTGAGAAATTTTTTTTTTGGGTGGACTACTTGTCCCCTTCTGGACAATGATATTCTACCTTTTGATTTTATTCTCACAAAAGTCTTTGTTTTGTATTAAAGGAAGAGAAAGTGCACAAACTGTTATGTAATTGATTGGAGGAATAATCTCTCTCTCTCTCTCTTTCTCTCACATGTGTGATCTTGCTCTGTGTGCCCACATACATGTGCATGAGTATGTTGTTGGTATTCATGTGGTTGTTTTGACTTTTGTGCAATAGGTGTGGTGCTACACAATCTGGTGATCTAGGCTCATCCGGTGAAGGAGCACTTGATGGAATACTTGGCTTTGGAAAATCAAATTCTTCAATTATTTCACAGCTAGCTTCATCTGGAAAAGTGAAGAAGATGTTTGCTCACTGCTTAGATGGGAAGAATGGAGGTGGTATCTTTGCTATTGGGCGAGTTGTGCAGCCAAAAGTTAATATGACTCCTTTGGTACCAAACCAGTATGTGTTTATTCTGTCATTTTGATAGTGTACTGTTTTCATTCATTTTATTTATTGTCATCTAAGTGGTATTTTAGCTTGTATGTTTACTAGACAAAACTGGTGTTTTATTTTCATATTTGTTTTCTCATAATTAAGTGCTATTTTGTGTTTTAACTTTTTTTTTTGCTTGTTAGGATGCATAAGCATAGAGAGGGATCATCAGACTTATAATATGAATTTCATTAAAAGCCAATTTGATTAGTATTTTATGTTTTACATAAAATTTGGATTTTCCATTTTTGTTTTGAAAATTCATTATAAAAAATTTAGGCCGCACTACAATGTCAACATGAAAGCTGTTCAAGTTGGCCACACTTTTCTAAATCTTCCAACAGATGTGTTTGAAGCGGGAGATAGAAAAGGGACAATAATTGACAGTGGTACAACCTTGGCTTATCTTCCAGATGTGGTTTATGAGCCCTTAGTAAGTAAGGTATGTGATGTATAAGACTTTCCTTCCAGAGAGTGTCATTAATATTTCCCATACACCAATATGATTATTTTTGTGTGAATATTGTCGTCAATATTAACAGAAATATTTTATTATTAGATTATCTCTCAGCAGAAGGATTTGAATGTTCAAACTGTTCACGGAGAGTATACATGCTTTCAGTACTCAGGAAGGTATGGTGCATGCCATCATGATTTTTATATTATGTGATAATAGCAGAAGAGAACATTTTATATGTTGAAATTTTTTTATTTATCACATCTTGAATGTTTGAGTAGTTAGGTTAGGATTTTTTTTTTGGCATGATACATCATTCTAGAGCAAAATATCTGATGTATATCTATATGAGGTGCTTAAATGCTAACTGGAATCAGATAAGATGAGCACTGATTACAAATCCGGAAAGGATACTTCAGCTGTAAATGTTAAAAAGCATAGAAGTAAATTTGTTCTATCATCAATTTATTCTGTATCTTCTACTTGTTCCTTTGTAACAGATATATACATAATATACTAATATATTTGCTAATTACTGGTGGTTTTTAGTTTTTGGCACTGCTTCTCCTTTATGTTTGTGTTTCTTATCCAAGAATAGAGAAGAATGATTGTGTAGTACAGGATGTTTTCCTGATATTTGTACCTTTCTTTTTTATTGCAGTGTTGATGATGGATTTCCTCCAGTCACCTTATATTTTGAAAATTCACTTTCTTTGAAGGTGTATCCACATGACTATTTGTTCCCTTATGTAAGTATATTGAACTGAAACTTTTTACAGGCTTTGTCCATTCATTTTTTTTATACAGGTTTCCAGCTTGTTTTTATATTAATTTATTTTCCAACAAAGTGGCTTTGCATTTTAATTTTCTGTGTATATAGTTTACGGGCCCCAGCTAGCATACTTATACAGTATACCTCTGATACCAATTATCAACTTTATTGTTATTGTTTTCTTTATAAGAAATAATAATTCTGTAAAAGAAAAGAGATTGAAAAAAAAAAATATATATATATATATATAGAGGAAGACAAATTGCCCATAGAAGAGTCCGACAAAAAATTTATTAAAACTAATGAAGCAGAACAGTCAACCCATAACTCCTCCAATCAATATAGATCAAAATAAACGGATATTCCTAAAATTGTTAGGCATTAGAAGCCCATAGACTCCAAAAATCTGTTTTCCGTTACCTACTCTTTCTTCTCGTGTTGGCTTCTATTTCTCTGCTTATGTTGAATTCCCCATTTTCATGATTGCTATTACTTTTACTACAATCTATGATTGTGGATATACAGGAAGCCTTTTGGTGTATCGGTTGGCAAAACAGTGGGATGCAATCAAGCGATAGGAAGAACTTGACCCTTTTGGGAGGTAAACCCTAATAATTTATGTCTCGGAAAGGAAAATTTTCTAATATTTCAGAAACTAAGGAAATAAATTGGTGGTGGAGCCTTTTTCTTTTTTCTCCTGCCCCTCGCCCAATAAACTGGAATTTTGGAAAAGTTTTCAAATTTTTAGCCCTTTGTCTTGGGAATCAAATATACCCCCTTTTCAGTTGAATTTATTCATTGACATTATAGATGCAGGAAATTATAGATGCTCTGCTGAGATGTCAATGTTCATTCTAATGAAACAATTGAACAAAATGTACTAATTAGACCTTATGCTCTTAACTATCTTTTATTTCTTGTGAAATTTGGGATAATAGAGAATAGTGTTTGGGTTTAGCATAGTAGTACGGTTCCATATGTCATATATGTTCCAACTTTCCCACACTTATGTTTATTATTATTCTTTTTAAAAATTACACTTGTGTTTATATTTAGTATAATAAGTGATTATGATAAAGGTCTTCATTATAAGTAATGACTGATTGGATTCTTGGGTAATTAAAGTTCTGTAGGGTTTAATTGGCATGATATATGATGGTTTTGCTATAAGCAAGACATGAGAGTTGCATGAAATTCATGGACATTTTGATCATTTTAAGTGTACCTTGCAGATTTGGTACTTTCGAATAAGCTAGTCCTGTACGATCTTGAAAATCAGACCATTGGATGGACTGAGTATAACTGTGAGTGATCATTTTATTTTTCATTCTTAATGCATCTGTTTAACTTCTTAATTTCAAGGGTTCTTGCATGCTTGAGTACCCAAAATCCACTATTTGTGATGACAACTTTCTTTCAATACTAGGTTAGTAGAAACCCTTACTACTATATTTAAAAATAAAAAAACATTTTAGGGCTTGATACCAATTGAGAATTAGGATATTTGCTACTTGGGAAAGTAGACCTTTTTGTAGCCTTAACTAGTTTTAGGCCATTATCTCGACTGGATCTATTATTAATTTCGATGTAGAAAGAGAGTAAGGGGGATTGTTATATTAACTGTGTCGTACTCAAAATATTTGAAGGGAAAATATTATGGTTAATGACTTCCTATAGTAAACCCTAATTACTTTATACTATTATTGGCTCTAAACTTCAGTATGAATTTCTGTTATCTCAGACTACTCTTTTAGTTTCATACTTAACTGAACTGCTGTCAGTCTCTTTGCTAACTTTAGTATATGGTCAATTTCAGGTTCGTCAAGTATTAAAGTACAGGATGAACAGAGTGGAACAGTACATTTAGTAGGTTCTCACTATATTTCTTCTTCTGCTTGCCATTTGAATACCGGACGGGCTATAATCTTCTTGTTGCTAACCATGCTGCTGCACAGTCTAGTTTAGTGAGGAGCAACAACTAAAACAAAATACTGACAGCCAGATTCAAGATAAAGAAAATTAAAAGATAGAGAAAATATAATGAAAATTCTTGTTCAGATATGGTGTATAGAGAGTTGGTGATTTCTGTATTTACACCCAAGGTGAAAAACTTAAGCTAGGATAGAACTTGTGGTCTTGAATCTTCACTCACTCTGGGTTATAGTTTTTTATGCCCATTGTGAATTTGTGGAGATTTATGAGAGCTTACTTGCTTCAAAATGCTTGAGAATATTGTATATGATTTCAAGTCGTGAATTGTGTTGGCTTAGGTCCTGAAAGAGATTTGTACATAATATCCTTGGTATATTTCCTTTCGCAGCTCCTCTGGTGTAAGGGCTTTTTTCTAACTGCATGTACACTTGAGGAGACGGAGGGCTATTTTTTTGTTCAAAAGGAGAGATCATTACTAAAATATCCTTAAAACTATTTTGTTAACATGTACGAAAATGGAAAGTAAATAAACAAAATTGCTTTTTGGAAGCTTATGGCTCATTTGATAACCATTTCATTTTTTATTTTTTGTTCTAGAGGATGGAAAAGAGTAACAAAAGTGCAAAAATATATTGTAGTTTTTAGTTTTAGTTTTCACTTTTTTTACTCATTCCTCTCATCCTCCCCTCTCCAGCCCAAGCCCCCCCACCCCCTCCCAGACCTTGTTGCTGGAAGTGCTCTTAAGGAAGAGTGCTATAATTACAATTGTATGCAAGGAAAATCCTCCATTTAGATTATGAGACATAGTTTGGATCTGCATAAAAGAAACACTCTGCTTGCCAAGCATTGTGTTAAGCAGCCATAGTGGCTGTGGTCATGTTCACATAGCCTAATTCTCATTTTAGTAGTCTCATTTTCTGCGTATTTAAGTTGAATTTTAGGGTTAATGCCATGTTTAAAGCTTCCCTGGTGGTTACTTTCTGTCCAATTTAATTTCTTTGGGTCCAGAGATGTTTTCCATATGTTCTCATGTTTATATACTTAATATTGTTAATTAAGACGAGATTAAGAATAATTCATCACATGGACCCAAAGGATGCAAGACAAAGGAAACTAATTAACTGCTTAATTACCTGGTAGGCCTAATTAATCAAGTCACTCACATTGAAAAGACCAGATTTTTGGATACATGAGATACTTTTGGTGAGAATAATTGAAGGAAAATGTCTGCAGAGGTGCCAATGGCAACCCGCTGTTAATAACACAATCATCGACGCCTAGCACCTTGAGCAGTCTCGGGTTGACCAGAGCCTGAGGAAAGCTTCCACACTTCAAATGAATGTCGATGATTGGGCACATAGGGCACTGGTTATTCACCACCACCATGAACTTTGGAGAGCTTCCAAACCCCACTTGGGTCTGTTGAACTGTTGGAGCTTGACCATTGTTAGTACATTTTTCTCCCCACCCTGCATGCATCACATTTAAATTAGCACTTGATATAAGTTGTGCATGAAAACCAAAACTAAATTAATGCTTTTTCTTTGTAGCGATTTTGACACTACGAGTTTAGTTTCTGGCACTCTCGATGCCAAAGGTATAAAAAATTGCTACTTTACCTTTTCTTTTTGGAGAGAGAGAGAGAGAGAGACCATGGGGGATAAGAGATGCAAATGTAAGAGAAGTCCAGAGAAGAAGCTTGAAAGCTGGTTGGCAATGCATTGTGAATTCAAGTGAGGATTATTATGTAACAAGAAGTTTGAAGGGGTGGATTGAACTGGTTGGTTGGTTGGCTTATATAGAGACAATGAGAAGGAGTGGATGGGGTTTAGTGACTTGCAAGATTTTATGTGGTTGTTGTTGTTGTGAGTCTTGTTGTGGAGACGAGTCACATGCAACTGGAAGAGAAAAAGGGCATTAGGAATAAGAGAGGACTTGAAAAGTTAAAAGAGAGGGAGTGAAGAGAAGGGAGAGGAGGGTTTGGAGATATTGTACATGGCATTGCCTCCCTACCAAACAACCAGCTTCACATGACCAATGTCAGATTCAGACCCCAAAAGACTGACAGCAATTCCACTGAAATGCAGCAACTCTCTCTCTCTCTCTCTCTCTCACTCTCAGACCAATCACATGTTCTGCTTATTTACACTACACTACAGTATAACACGGGTTTGTCTGCGTCAACCTATCTGCATATCGCATCCTTGCCACCCAGCAATGATAGATTCAATCACTAGGTTTTTAATATTAACACGGGATCTTGCTTAAATCTTGCTTTTGTTATAGTTACTGTTAGAATTTTGTGCACATTTACATCGCTCTCTGTGTATATGACATTCTACTTCTGAGTTATACTGCCATGCGATACCGACACTTGAGTTTAACAAGCAATGGCCACAAAACCCTAAAAGCCTGAAGAAACCTAAAAGGTTCCAAAATAATCCTAATTAAATTCAGAACCTAATTGGATTCGAAATTATATTAAAACAAAAATATTAAAATTAAAAATAACAACATGCGTAATCAATCCACTTGATGTTCACTTGAAATTCCTGTAAATCCCAAATGCTTTTGTTTCGTAATAACTCTGAACAATTTTGAATTTTATTTTTCTCACGTTTCAGTACTTTGAATTGATTCCCTCTTTATCCTACGTCGTACACAAACTCCACTTCAAGAGACATTGAATCCGTGATATCACCCTGCTCTGGACAGTGGACTGGATCAAGGGAATCCATCCTCCTTTCTCCTTCACGTCACCCAATGAATGATATTCCATTACTTTACTAAAAGCATCTCAGAGTAAAGTCTCAGTGTTCGATCAAATCAAACAACAGCTCGCCCTCTCCTCTGTGCGTCGAAAGTGAAGCAACCCAAACCACTGATTTTCTTTTTTAATACAAACAATAGTCTAACTCTAAACTACAAGGAGGAGCGAGATTTCTAACCTGAGACTACTCTGAGACCCCGTCGCCCTCTCGTCTGCAAGTCAAAGCCATTTTCTACTAGGTAAACCCCGTTGGCATGGCAACCACTGATCTTCTTTAAGGAATAGGCTTGGTGAAAAAAGGAGAAGAAAAAGGAAAAGGGCAAAAACTAAAATTAGCCAACCAAATTTCATTGGTTAATGTAAGAAAGTTCTTATTTTACTAGTGTCTTTGTAAGAGTACACTTCTGTAATTCAAATGTGTTTGAGAATGTAGGGCTGTAAGTCGACTCAATACAATTCAAGCTTGTTCGAGTTTGATTCGTAAAGCTAATATCTCATATGAACCGAGCCTGAGAAACTTGGCATTTGGCTTGGCTCGGGTCATTTAAACCCCTGGATATTAGCTTGTCGTCTATTGATAAGTTATAATGCAATAGGTTTGTTTTGTTCTTTGTTTGCCATGAATTTTCGTAGCTTAACTTTTAGATTCTAATGGTGTTATCTCAGAGTTTATTTATTTATATTTTTTACAAAAGCGCTATTCTAAACTACTTCAATGTAAGGGGGAGGGGGGTGTTTTCAAACTTGGGTGCAATGGGGAGGGCAAACTGCCTTGGTCAACTGGCTTAACCCACATTTGCGTCATCTCACAGAATTGACACACTACATACTTTTGTTACTAAGATACCCTAACCATTAATAAAACGGGAACAACCCTCTCTAAAAGCGTCAGAACTGTCCCTAAGTGCAGTTACAATTGCATCAGCCTAAAATCAGAAACACAATTACAAACAAATAGAAATAAAAAAGCTTGAACTTGTTGAATGAAGGAACTAGGAAGCACGAGTTTTGAAGGAAAGAAAGAAAAAGAAATGAAATATGAAAGCCTGAAAGATTGGGGGAAAACAAGAGAGATGTCCTAGAAATCCCCCGTACTGCTCTTTGTTTCTGCAAAAATTCCAACATTTTCCTATTCATGTTAACTAAATAGCATTCACTTTTTAAGCAACTGAACTTGTTGAATGAAAAGCACTAGGAATGAAACAAGAAAATTTCAATTAACGAAAATGGACCCCAAGGTAAGCGAAAAAGAAGAGATATTTAGTTATATATCAATTCTTAGAACTAGTGATATAGATAAATCATACACCATTTAATTTCCATAAACAAACTCAAAAAATAACAACTAGCCTTATTGAATTTAATTTTGATTATTAAATTACTTTGATACCCTATTAAGTGTTTTGAGGTTTTTTTTTTAATGAGATTTTGGGATTAGGCTTTGTTTTAAGAAATCAATGGCAGTTTTATAATTTGTAGGAAGTTTGAAGCCTTTTTGTTATGTTGTAAATGAGCTTTGAGTGTTTCTAAAGTCCATTTCATATGGGGTTTTTTTTATTCATAATTCGAGCCTGTACATTGGGTATAATAATGAATTTCCCAACAAAAAAAAAAGCACCTCCAAGAGCTAAGAAACCATCCTGAGATGACAACAAATCACTTTTCATTCATAACTTTTGTACTTGTTTTTCACAAAGGTTAATGTAATTATATGAACAATTGGGTCCCTAACCTTACAGCATCAAGACAAATGAGGAAGGATTATCCAGAGTACCTTACTTTATCAGTAAGTGAAATTGAATTTTGTTATGAACCTCAATGACGTCTTCAAATTTACATGCGTGGACCAAGAGGAAGCAGCTTGAGCAAAAAAGAAAAGCTGAATCACTTGATTTTTTGTCATGTCAAAACAAGAGGAAAACCGGAGCTCTACAACCCTGTCTTCCTTGAGATAATAGCAAATTGTAACAGATTGTTGGGAGTAAACAATCCGTCTCCGAAGTATCTCATGTGAACATATTTTACAACAATAAATTTCTGCAAACAAAAATGGAGGAAATGATCAGTATAAGGAAAGCATTCTCAAAGCAAATGGCGTGGAACATCAACCCCAAAAAACAGAAAAAAAGGAAAAACACCTTGCTGAGTGCTATAATCTGGTAATTTTTCAACGAACAAAGTATGATTGCACTTTGACTTCTATTACGACACCAGCGAAGCTCTTTAATCAGTAGCTTTGCCAATGAGCAAGTACCTCATCAACAGAAAACATCCTCAGGTTTTCTACACATATTACATACCACTTTGGGTACTGCTCCCCCTTATAAATTAAGTACGTCAAGTTCAGATCAGTGGCTTAAAACAATACATTGTCCTTTCACTTTAAAACATAAAAAGACTATGGATCCCCTTTTTGTTTTGTTATTATTTTCTGCTCTAATCCTTTTCTTCCTCTGATACCTTTCTTTTATTTATTTTCTATTCTCCCATCCTAACCTTATTAACAAAATTATGCACCTTTCAATGCATTTGTTTATACTGTTTTATGGGAGATTGGCTGTAGTATATATATGTTGAACATTACACCAAGGCTCCAGTTGGATGGATGATTTGAAAGAAAGGATTTCGATTTGACAATAAGGCTAAATTTTCTTAATTCATAAGATTTTAAACAAACATATCCAATCTTTGTCTATGAGCCAAGGCCTAAGGGCATAACAAAATGTTAACCAGATACACACAGAGCTACATAGTATCAACTCACAACCAATAAGTACTTCACAATTCAGAAAAATGGAAGTTTCTAATGTCTCAGATTCTTACTTAAGGCATGCCAATGGTCCGTGGAGCTAGTGACACATCATCCTCCATTTAAATCAAGGTGAAGGGTTAGTTAAATATGAGGAAAGTGGACCTATCTTGTTCTTATTATTCAAACATTTTCATATACAGTTTTTAATAAAAAAGCAAACATTATTTCTGGCATAAAAATGCAATTTGAATCAGTGAAATGCTAGGAAATCCAGCTTTGAAGGGAGTTAATATTAGGGCACAGGAAAGACCTTACAGTTCACCTACCTTTTATCATTCACCACTCCAATTTATTAACTCACTGCGCGGTGCATAATGCTTTGTTGCTCGCTCTTCTGCTTCAACATCATTAACCACCCCACGGCATCTCGGAAAACCACAATAGCATGCTAGTTGTTCATCAATTGAAAAAAATCTGTGATGTTAAGGAGAAAGTTAGCACCTGAAATGATAAAGAAAAACAGCATACACAGCCAGAATTGAGGATAACCTATAATCGTATGTAAGTTCTTCCCATCGTTTGATGTCTCTCTTTGCAAATATAATTATATGCTCATCATTATTAACACTTATGACTCTTGAGTAGCAATTTGGCTGCACACAAGAAAAGTAAAGCCGGTCAGGAATTAACAAAGTTAAATAAATAACTTTTGGGGAAGCCATCCAATATAAAATCAGTAATCACAATAGCGTAAGCAATTTTAACAATAAAAACTATATGATTTCCACCAATATAAAATGGCAACATAAACCTATGAGTACAATTCCCAGGATCTAAAATTAAGTTCCCCCAATAAATAGATGGGTTTAACAATTTGGAGAAGAAAAATGTGATGAAGAAGATAATTGAAAGATCATAATTAATTAAAAAGGTTATATGAGAATGGATCACAGTACAGAACCCTTGACAACCACTATTTTACTTGCCAACATGCAGCCAAAACTACAGGCGAGTTTTTCACCAAAACAATAGACTACAGCAGACATTATGCTTTGACATTGAAGATGATGATCCGAATACAAGTGAAATACAAAATAAAAGAAAATTAACAATGGCAAAAATAATGCATATGGCAATCCTTGAAGGCCAAAAGATTTGCATGCCAAAACATCTTACACAATAGTTTAGGGTTGGTTGTCTCCATATTTCAAAAGACCTTTTATGCCACCCAAAAAGCGAATATTTCTTGAAATGTCTTCTCGAAGAAGCTCAAATGCATTGAATGGAGGAATGCTTTTTTATTTCCCAATCCAAATGTTTTACAAATGACAGCGACATCCACCATTTGTTTCTTCTTTTTTTCTTTTTTCCTTTTTTTTAAACATATTTACTTTGCTAAAGCTTCATTATGGTGAACGTTCACCTTCAGGATTGCAAAGTGATACGCAAATAGGAAAAAGAAAACTTCTAATCTCCAAACTCTTTCATTAGGTTATATCCAATAAGATAGGTAGTTGCTAAAATGCCATTTTTCACGCATTTAGCTTGCTGCTAAAATGTCAATGGTATCATGTCAATCCATGCTTAGATTATGAGTAGCACAAAGGCAATTTGAAATACTTCATATGAGTAAAACTAAATAAACAGACAAGGGTCAGATAATGCTCACTTCACAAGAGTGATTAATCAGGTGAGCAATGCTTCCAGCTCTTGTGGCATCAATGACCCGTTCATCATCAATCCGGAACATATAAGTCCCAGCCCCCTGCATGAGAACAAGTAGATTTTTCCAGTCATTTCTTTCTCAGTTCATATGCAAGCATCAATATATGTAAAAATTCCTAAATGGCAGTTACATAAATTGTTTATAAGATGCATACAAATGCTAGAAAATCAAAATTTGTAAGTGTAACAAAAATGCATCTAATAGAGATGCCTAATTATTTCAAATCTCTTGAACTTTGGTTGGCAACTCTGACATCTGAAAAAACTTACAAAGACCAAAGGCAGCATGATTCATGTTATCTCACAACAAAATAGAAAAGGACTTGCAAGAGAATAACCCAGATCCCTAACCAAGCCAAACTCTCTTGTGAGAAGGGGTGGGAAGCAAAGTGAGGCTACTAATACAAGATAATAGATCAGAAACTTCGTCAAACTCCCTATCACTGAGATTTCTTCTAAAAGTTAGGTTCCAAGAAACAACCCTAAAAGGAGGAGAAGGCAAGGATGAAATGGTGGCATTATGATTCAATGGGGATCTGTACAGTTCTGGAAATAGTGATTAAAGAATGACTCACCTGACCAAATGTCTTAGTCCCACTCAACAAGATAGGAGCATGGTCTGAAAGAATTGTTAGAAGTATAGTGACTAGACAATCCTAGGGTACAAGCAATCCACTTCCTAGAATCAATCCAGGAGGGATAAATTCAAACATTGTAAAGCAGATGCAATGGAGATGAGAACTCGGCCACCTCGGCCTCATTCAGGTTTCGCCTGAAACTGAAGGTACTAATTCCTAACACCACTTGAGAAGGCCCCAAGCTTGATGCTTTTTTTCTTTTTTTTCTTTTTTGAATAGAAACATTTTTGTATTCAAAATTAGAAAGGATCAAAAGAGAGGACAATTAGAACACAGACAAAAAGAAAGAAGCAATAGCCAGTGAAACAAACGCAAGGCCACGCAACACAGAAAACATAACAGCCAATCAAAAAGACAACCCCTTAAGACATTACAGCCGGCAGATTGCGCATAAATGTAGGATAGGATATATCCTTAAAAGCAGGGGAAGTTGATGCCCAAGGGGCAGCCCAGAACTTCACTCTATCCCATAACTCTACCACTCCCACTACCTTATAATCCTCGAAGATTCTCCTGTTACGTTCCAGCCAAAGGTTCCAGATCACTGCCTGCATCAAACTGCCCCAAAGAATTTTAGCTTTCTTTCCCGTTCCTAAAGCATCAAATTTGATGGAATAAAGCTCGACACAACCTTTCAGTATTACCCACACAGTGTTAACTTCCTTCAGTAACATCTCCCACAACTTTAGAGAGAAAGAGCAATGAAGGAGGAGGTGGATGCATTTTCCACAAGCTTGATGCATTTTCAAACAAGTATATACACATATGCATACTCTTTGTGAAGGAAAAGAACTATTTTCATTCCTATTGATCCCACCTTCATCCTTTGGGTATTCTTTGAGGAATAAGAGTGAACTGAAGGTCACTCTAGAAGCATCAAGAAGCCTATTTTAGAATCTCATTCAGTGTAGCCATGTGTGGAGCATACAAGGGGCATTCATCCACAAGGACATGCGGCACAAGTCAGAGGATAAGTCATCTTCTATATGAAGGTGTTGTCCAATATTAAGAAATACCAGTGCCATTCTAGCAAGCACAATCCCGAGCATAAAAGATGATCCTCTATGGTCTTTGTGATGGAGCCCTAGATAAAAGAGAAGTATTTGCTCACACGGTGTTACGCTTTTAATGGCTTACACTAGGAGTCCAAGAGAAAGACTACTCAAGCAAGAGAACAGAAAAATCAAGAGAAGACATAGCACATTGACTTCCTATAGAATTAAGGCCAAATGTACAATTTGGCTTAAGATAAAATCACATAAAGCCTAGTCACTACCATGAACAATTTGAAATCTATTTCGATGTGATTTGAACAATTTGAAATCTATTTCTGATGTGATTTGTTAGGACCAACATAAAATGCATGCAAGCATAAGTTGCAATGAGCACAGCAATGGCTTAGTTACGTAACTTACCACCAATGAATTATATATGAAGTGCTCTCTCCTGTCAGCTACAGGAGGTCTAACAAGTTCACCCGTGTATTCAATCACCTGCAACAGATATGAAGAGATATGATCAGCATTCAAAATTCTCTTCTACAGGTTCAAAATATACAAAGAAAATTACTTTACCATGTCCCCTGCTCTATGTGGGTGCTTAGCAAAGATACCAAAACCATGAATTCCTGATTTTCCTGCAGTTAAAAGTAAAACAAGTTCCAAAAGACTGAATTCAATAACAATAGTTAGGGTAACATATAACACTGAATGACATGGCAGACACTATACAAGCAAGGTCATGAACACATGTAAGATAAAGCTAAAACTCTAAAATTTCAGCACATAAGAATGCATGCTATCTAATAAAAAAAAAAGATTGGTAAAATAACAGGCGCCTACAAATAGCCACATGAGTTTTAACGTACAGCAATTTTCTAAATTGTATGTACATTTATTAAATGTTAAAAGCGTTACAACATGATCCCCAAAAGACCTAATTATCTACTTCTAGCTTCAAAGAAGAAACAAAATTCTATTATGAATACCAAAGAGTGAACCAAAGAACCAGATGGTAGATTGGTGAACATAACCAGAATTGAACATAAATAGGACAAACTATATATACATACAACATTCTTGGAGGTTTTTTAAGGAAATTCAGATTCATGAGTAAAAAACAGAAAAACTATATCTTACCAAATGCTAGTCGTTTCCGAAAGGTGTCCCTCATGTATTTATACTTCTCCGCCATAGAAAGTATGTCGTTAGGAGCATCAAGTTGAGAGGCTTTCATCCTTTGAAGGTTAGAGCAGAACTCAGAACCAACGACACCATTGGGAGGCCGTGAATTACTTGACAGTTGGTGTTGGCTGTAACCACCAACTAAGTAAGGCTGGTTCTCAACAAACAAACGCTTTAAGGATGCAGCAGCTATGGCTTCAGGTTCTTTTCTCCCTCTTCTACAGAAGTAGTTGTATGGCTCTGCCCAAGCATTGGAATGAGAGAGTAAAATACAAAGTGTATTGAATTTATTTTGAAATTCCTTAGTTGAGTATCTATATCAATGATAGCCAATAAACTAAATGAGCATTCATGGAACATATTTGACAAGACAAACAAGCAGAACCAGTCATAATCAACTCCGACTCCTGAGAATGATTTTTTATTTTATTTTTTCTAACAGGAAACAAAGATTTTCAATAAATTGAGGGTGGTAACCCCAAATAGGCATCACACACTATGTCGTAGAAGTCTGCAAGAATAAATAAACAATTATGCCCCAGCTCATGGCTACATAGTACGATCTCCCTTGGTGCAAAAACTATAAATAATTTAAGCAAGACGAATCTTCCCCACAACATAGAGACTGGAACCAATACACACAAAGTACACAACAAAAGGTGGAGAAACATTATAATTCATAACACCATATCTGTTAAGTGTACTAAAAGCAACGTAGAGATGTAAACAAACTTGTGAGGTAATTTACAGCAGGATTACTAAAAATACACCCCAGGAGCATACTCACTATACATTTACATACCAGTACGAGCACATCCAGAAGGATTGGATGGCGGAGTGTAGTCTGAGCATCGACGCACTGTTCGGCCAATACGGTCATCAGCAGCTGAACGATCATTAGTTGGCTGCCTATGCTTCTTGCAAAAGGAAAGAAGGCGGATACACTGATCTTCTTCATCATCTTCTACAGAAAGTAGATGCAGCCGGTCCTCATCCTCAAGCTTCGTAGTAATAAAAATAAAATATAAAAAGAAATTCAGGACAATTTGGGCAAACAATTCTAGCCATAGCATTAATTGATACATTTAAGAATACAAAGTACTATAAAACCAATACATGAAGACATCCAGCAAGCTGTTGAAACAATACAGAGTTTAATATAAAAACAATAATGTCATGTGAAAATGAGGAAAAAAAAACTACCTCAACACAAAGACCAGCAGCTCGTGCACAAAGTGGATGGTATGCCGCACAACAGGTATTGTTTGAACACTGGAAAGAAACAGAAAAGGCAACAAAAAAATAAGAAACAGTTATCAAGGAATTTTCATACCAAACTGTATACATTTAAGAATGAAAAATAAATCAGGAAGATACCAAGATGTATACATGTAAGTAGATAATCATAGAAGAACATCAAGAAATTTCTAGCTTAGATGCTGCAGTCATATATTGGAAACGAACAATGACATTGATACATTTTTAAGCTTTTTCAGTAATATTCTAAAATGGATTAGAAATAAATGTTTTTTTTTTCCTAAGACAGACTAAGCGTCCCAGAAATATAACCCCAAATAAAGAAAATTGGTAACTAGCAAAAGTGTAAAGATTCTACCAAATGCTCAACTTTGGAGCATTCGTTAAGTTAATTCTTTTACCAGGACCAGGTACCCTGTCTTCTTCAAAAATGTAAAACTAAATAAAGCAGACTGATGACCACCATATGAGTAAAAGGTTCAAGAAAGCCCTCAATATGAATCATTCATTAAGTTCATTTCCAAATAGGCAATGAAAAAATGTTCAACTTTTGACTCCCGGCATGTTGCAACAAAATCTACAGGCACAGCGTACACTCCAGATCTAATTGCAAAAAAATTCTCCAATCTCTAAAGAGCAGCATCAATTCTCGCTTCATGGCAATATAAACAATCTTTGCATGTAAAGAACACAACGGATATGTACTTGCGTATTGGTAATGCCTAATATATTTTTGTAGCAAACACCAAAATGTTCTAACTTGGTTATATTAAGTTGAACTGACTTTGTCATAACTATACTGATATACTCCTTCCATCCATTAGCTTTCTCTTTTTGCCTTTTTTTTTTCATCATGTTTCTATTTTTTATACTTCCCTTTAAAACAAAAGAGTGGTTCAGAACCAATAAAGCAGAATAAGCATTTCCCCTTGAAAACTGTTTCAGCATCATAATAGTAGCCTGAAACAATTTGACTATGATTAGGTTCTAAATGAACTTACTTGAATACAGGCTCCATAAGAAACTCCACAGATAATACATAATAGCTTCCAACGGTCCTGTAACAAAACAGGAGATTAGTGGAAGCAGGAAAATCTTGACATAAAGGTTTTGGCAATTTTCATTCCAAAGGATAAAAATATATATGAGACCACTGCCATAAACAAATCCTCACAAGATAAAGATAAAAAAGGTGACATATGTCAAGGAAAAATGAGGGTGAAGGGGAACAAAGGAAGGAGGCCATAATGGTGTGGAAACATAAAAAGTGAAAAAGGAAACACCTTGTTGATTCTACTAAGCCCATCAATTGGCTCCATTCTCTTAACATCAGATAGGCAGGTTTCTGGAATATTTTCAGAGCATTAGAAAAAATAAATAAATAATTGAACGATCAGAAATGAAAACTGTGTTTTCATGAACCTGGTATCCATATGGCACAAGCCAGATGAGCCCAGCGCCCATCAGTTGTAGGCTTCATTGCCCCCCCTAGAGGAAAATCAGTTCAATAAATTAATAACGTGAAATCCATGGCATTAAAAAGGTAGACTCTTAATTATTTCTAACTACCTATTACAGGACAAAGGCAGCAAGGCGGTGCAGGTTCAGGAGCCCCAGGCCGACATAAGTTGCATAACCATAAGACGCCACCAACAGGTTCCAGTTCTCCATAGCATCTTGCATGGACCTAGGAAAACATTATTTCTTCTGGTGAAACCAATAACCAACCAGGAAAGGTAAACACGTAACAAAGTAGAGAAAGAAGTGTTTCAAACAGCCTAGAAAAAGAAACTTGGTTGACTAAAGCATATACGACAAAATCAAACTTGAATTTGATAGTTTAACCAAGACCACAGTAATGTGATCCCCAGCATCAGAAAAACACTTACCATCATTCTGCATTTGTCACACTGCAGGAACAAGTTGTTTTCGTATTCCTACAAACAAAACACCAATTAGCAAAACCCATAGGGAACTAAGTTTAAACGAACTCCCACCCAAAAACAAAAACACAGAAACTTGCGGAAAAAGAAAAAGGAAAAATACATATAGTCTATCTTTTAAACAGTCAGTGATACAATATGACAGGAAAAAACATTCGCATCCACCTCATCCATGTGGCAAACACTACATTTATCGAGGTCCTTCCAGTCCACACGAACAGGTCTGTAACCAACAGGAACATCTCGATATCTTCTAGAGGCTAACTTGCACTTGGGTAATTTTGAAGAAAGCTTGGATTTTATTAACCCCTGCAAAAACGCCAGGTGTTTATATTAGGCTAGAAATCACGGAACATGGGAAGAAGGAACAGTTTATGGAGCATTTCAGAATGGCATGGGCTTCAACAATTAACAAGATGGCAGCCAATACCAAATGAGTAAAACTCAGCAACAGAAAGATTTTCCAAATCCTTATTTGACACTTAATTCTGTTCATCAGAGAGACGAGCAGTACAAACTGATGAACATGCTTGAAGATTACAAATTATAAAAATCATTATTAAGAAAACTATTAGATGATTTTTCTCTCTTTGATAGGAAACAAATTTCATCAAGAGAAAAAGAACAGATCAATGGACAAGATGTCCACAGGAGCAAAGAACAAGAGAACTCTAAAACATCACCAACAACCTTAAAACGCTATGAGATTATATTATTATCATCATTTTATCAACAAAATGTCAACTTTTGCTTTAAGTAAACCCATTAAGAAGTTCATGTGAATGATTGTATATATTGACACCAAAATAATTAACAAATTGAGGAATGTCATTCAAATGTTTGTAAGATGGTGGATCAGCCTTGATAATAAATTCAGCAAGACAACCATAAAACATAAAATTAATATTTGACTGAACAAATAAATAAAATTGACATTATAGCCCAAGAAAACATGAAAATACATCGCTGTATCCACAAATGTATAACAGTAGAAGAAACCTAGTAGGTCTAATGCACAGCTGAGCTTAGGTACCTGAATAAGTTTTGCAACTTCAGGTATAGAGAAACCAAACATATGAGAACCAGATTTACAGGTCCCTTCCAATCCACGGTCAGCATTAGCATTAGAACCAACCAATGATGTGTTTTGTGTTTTCCTTATCCTCTTGTATATTTTATTCCAACAAGCTGATGGTGTAGATCCCTTAAACTGGAAAAAATAGGGGAAAGGAAGATACATAACAGAACAATATCAGCATATCTTCATTCCAGATACTCTAGTACTGTACATCCTACTCCTGTGCTCAATAAAGGAATCACAAAATAGAAGGCAAAACAAATAACAAGACAAATATGTCTTTTTATTACAAACTGAAAAGGCAGTGCTCCATAAGTAAGAAAGCTTACACATCCATTCTCTCAAATGGATATTACTTTCTAGATTACTTATATCAAAATTTATGGGGGAAAATAAACAGTAAATATGTATTCTGGATTATAATTGTAGACCATAATTTATGAAAATTTAAACTAAGGAATGATAAGTCCCTTATCCCTTAATCAGATGCCTCACCAGTTTACATACAATAGGATTAAACGGAGGAGAATATAAGTGTTTACTATAATTCAAGAATATGAGCAAGACCACCCCTATAGTAGTAGATGGAGGTATCATTACAGCTTGACAGGTGATGACACTATAAACAAAAAAGAATTCGTTGGGAACTCTAGAGACAAGATCCACATAAACATAAAATGAAACAAGTACATGGACCGCAAAGAACACAACCACTGCTAAGAAAGTAAAGAATAATTAAAATTACAATGCATGAATATAACATAAGTATACTTTGAGGTACAAGTTGATCAACTTCTGAAGGATGTTAAAGAAACAAGCACAAACTATCAAATGCACTCAAAATGGAAACTAGAGAAAACCGAACCTGCTCTCCTGTATCTAATGTCACTTTGAACAGAGGTCGAATCTTTGATTCGGTATCTCTCAACACCTCCATCTTATATAATGTACGTACAGTTGGATCTGACCAAAATATTTATGAGAAAGAGAGATTGTTATTAGAATGATACCATTGCAATAAAATATAGCCTTTGAAACTCAACATAAAAGAGAGAATAATCTAATATGAAAGGCTAATATATATATATATATATATAATAGAGAGAGAGGGAGAGAGAGTGTGTGTGTGTGTCCACCTGTAATTGAAGTAAACTTCCTCAAGGCAGTATAACCTTCAGGCCAAATGTCTTTCTCATCCCGAAAATATTCTGAGTCCCTGACAAACTTTCCTGCAAGAAACTCCATATGGTGATGAATAGAATGGAAGTCTCAAAAAACCAACTGGTAAACTCTTTATACAGAATTAATAATAATAAATAAACTACCAGATCTTAAAGGAAAATTTCATAGGAAGGATCGAAATAAATCAAAATTTCCTGCAAGAAAACTCCATATGGTGATGAATAGAATGGAAGTCTCAAAAAACCAATTGGATAAACTCTTTATACAGAATTAATAATAATAAATAAACTACCAGATCTTAAAGGAAAATTTCATGGGAAGGATCGAAATAAATCAAAATTTCCTGTCTGAAGATCTCTAAGTAAATTGAATACTAAAAACAGAAAGACAAAAAATAGCCGGCAACAGCATCCTTTTCTCATTTTTTTTTCAAGAGAGAGAGGTGTGGGCTACAAAATGGAAATTAACCTTCCCTCTCCCAACCCCCCACCCCCTCACATAGATTGAACCAAAGACCTTCCCCTTGCTAGGGGGAGAGTACAACTTTGGCTACATTTCCATTCATGGTGTTTCCTCACAGGGTTGGGATTCAGAAAGATCTAGCTTTGAAGAATGAAAATGCATTCATCAATTATAACATCAAAATGTAGACAATACATGGGAACCGTGAAGTTTATATTATGCAATGTCAATGAAGAAGTACAAGACTACAAAGAAGTACCTAGGTTTGTTATCTGCAAATCCCCGATCACGTACGGAGAAGTTCCAAGGCGATCCAGTGTCCTCAGAATCCCTACATCATCCAAACATCCTTCACCAGAATCTGCACTCACTTCATCTTCTCCACTTACACTTTCACATTCATCAATGTTAATTCCATTTTGCAGCCGTAGCATTCTTCTTGGAAGCTTTTGTTCATTGAGATACCTGATGATAACCAAAAGATTTGACCAGTTGGTACTCAGTTATGCAATAATTAAGGTCTTCATATTGCATTGTTAAACAAAATACCTGAATCTTACAAATGTTTGGAGCAAATCTGATTGAGGCAGTCATATCCAGTGAAAGTTACAAAAAGTGAAGTGCGGATATTCAAATATTATCCATTTAAATCTCATAGCCTCCAAGTCCATAGGTACACATCATAATGTCTCAAAAACATACACTACTTACACATTAACATTTATTAGAGTTAAGTACAAAATTGTCTCATGAAAACTATGCCACCTAGGTGATTATATATTTGCACATCATAATGAAAGCATGCGAGATACTCCAAAGATGCTTGATTTGTGATGGACGCATGGCCATGTTAAAAAATATAAATTATGATGTATGCATGATCATATTAAGAAATGACATTAGATGTATGATTATAAATTTATGAGTTCAACAACATGAAAAAACTAAAAGGTCATGTCAAAAATGATATAAGATTACATTTTTGCTTCTTCCAAGCTTTTGATGAATCCAGGCTTCTTGCATTTCAAATGGAATGAAGAAAGAAGTCCTTTGAGAAATGAGATTGCCTGTTTCACTTTAATCCTGTATAAATCACAACAGAAAAATGGTGAGTTCAGATTAAAAAAAAAAAAAAAGGGGGAATTCAGGTATGGTAAGTGCACTAAGATAAATAAAATCTCCTCAAAATGTCAAAGAATCCCAAACCTTGCAAAGTCGTGGGTTCCAAAAAACTGCACTGGAACTGATCGTCCTCCCAAACTTTTGGTTAAGCCTTTACGATCACCAATAAGGGATTCATCCACAACTATTGCTGGCCACATAGCATAACCTGCACTACAGCAGTTGAAAGTAGTTTGTGTGAAATCGAATATTTGAAATCACCAGTTGGTGCAAAATCAAAGAAATGAAAAATAGATGTATAACAGTGGAAGAAACTTATAACTCATGTAACTGAAAATTTATCTCTATGATCACCAGAACCTAATAAGTCTTCTAAATAAAGCCAGGTAACAATCCGGGAAGATGAAATGATCCAATACCCAAAGTATGACACTTTCAATTTAAAAAATAAAATAAAATAAAATAAAAAGTTGCAAATCAATTCTGCAGATATTTGAATATATCTCTATTCACAAGGAAGCCATTCTGTAGGAGTTTTGATTTGGACATAGCATGTTATTTGCTTCATGTTTCTAGGACTGATTTTGATGAGCACTATTGATTCTTTTTGTAGCTTTTTTTTGTTTCTTTCAGTAAAGGTTTCTGATTCTTATCCGCAAAAACAATATATACATACATAAAACACAAAGAAAACCAATCATTTGCAGCGAGATTATGTAAGTGTACATCCTATTAGTGCATAAATCATAAAAAGGTATATCCCTCTCTGTGCTGAATTGCTCCTACAGAGATTTTGGCCTGTTCTTACACCATTGTGAAATGGCAGAAAATTACAGCACTTTTGCATGGATAAGGAAAATTACAGGCAGAAAACTAGCCTGTTAGGTCCAAGATACAATCATAGACAAAGGTTTTTTTTTCCAACACAAGCAAGGGGTTTACAATATGAAAACATTTACACCTTCATCTAATTGGTTTATTATATTTGGACATACTCTTGCTCAGGCCATAAGAAAATTAAAAACAAGTGAAAACAAAATCAAAACAGTAGATTAAGCACACACCTGTAAGCTTGGCCCATATGATATCCCCAGGCTCTAGTTCTTGGCAGTCATCCAAACTCGCAGCCAACACAACCATCTCATTATAATCATAGACATCATTATCCATACTCCTCAGACTGTAACTCAAATTCAAACTCTCCATTTCTTCCCGAGAAATATAAAATTTGATTCTCTCATTTGATAGAATCAAATCTTCCTCATCACCATCTTCATATTCAACCTACATTGCAAAGTTCATAAGTAATGGCTCCAACAAGTTCGCAAGCAATGCCCTAACTTTTGCATACTCGGGCGCTCTCAACAACATAAGAACGATCAAACAAAGAAGAGAGCACGGAAATGAATAGTCATACTTGATGTCTATTAGTGTCAGAGTTGTAACCCACAATGCGACCAGAATACGAATTAGCATCCAATGGCCAATAGACCTGTACTTAACAAGAAGCAAAGTTTCAGAATTTCCTACAAGCACAGCAATGCTATGCTCACATCCTCAAAAACAACTTTAAAAAATGTCAAAAACAGCTTACAGAGTGCTTGCCTTGCATTGTAATCCAATAAAAGTTTTAGGATCAACGTCGCTGAAACTCAACCTGTTGAAAATCAACCATTAACACTTTCTCAAGAACCAATTGTTTAAGAATTGAAACCCTTTCGACCAAAAAAACAAAGAAAGAAAGAATTGAAACCCTAAACTAAATACATACCCGACCCATTTCTTCACAGAAGAAGGATCCGAAAGAATTTTCTCGCAGCTAACAGAAGAATTCCGCTTCTTCAGCCGCAATTTCTCTCCATTTTTACTCCTATCGAGTTTATGATTGCTGCGAGAATCTCTCAATCGAGGCCCGTCCAAATTACACAGAATGCTAGAATCAACCCCCAATTTCAGTAACTCGTTAATCCCGAGCTTCCTCTTCTTCTTGTCCAAACCCCTCTCAAATTCGTCATCTCCATCAGCCTCCTCAATCTTCACCGCCGCCGCTGGGGACTCATTCCGGGCCACCAAAGCATCGAAGAACGAGGAGCTCCGTTTGTAATGGCGGGGCCTCTTGGCGCGGCGCGAGTAGACATTGACAATTGAGGGTTTCGGGGAGGGCTTCTGGTGATTCTGATCGCCATCGTCGAAGTGATTGAGCTTGCGAGCCTTGACCTTCTTGGACATGACGTTGGAGGACCCGCTGGCGCTGACGCAAGGCGACGTGGCCGAATACACGTGGTCCAGGGAAAGGTAGCGGAGGGGCGTGGAGGTGTGGATGTCGATTGAGGCGTCGTCGTTTTGGTGCTTTTGGGGAAATGCCATGAAGAAGGGAGAGAGAGCAAAAGAAGGGGGGCTTTCTCGCTTTTGCTCTCTCTCTGTTTGTGTATGTGTGTCTCTGTGACTCTGTTTGCGTGATTAGGTTAGGGTTGGGGTTTTAAAGAAAGAGGACAGAAAGAAAGAAAGAAAGGAGACGGATCTGTCAGTCTGTCTCTGCGGTTTTTGGAGGGAGGGTTTTGATCCCAATTATCAGTTTCCCGCCTGCAGTAGGGAGAGAGAGAGAGAGAGAGAGAGAGAGAGAGAGAGATGGAACCACTGAAACTGAGTTAAAAAGTGTACATTCATTATATACGTAAACCATAAAAAATAATTTTAAAATAAAAGACGTGGATTAGCTTCTTTATAATATCACTTTTTCGAGAAAAAAGATTTTGAAATTATATTATGAATTATCTGTTGACATGGAAAATTAAATTTATTCTATAATTCTTACTCCGGAACAGTGTTAGTTAAACAATGATCTATTTTACAAATTTGAGCATATGTAATTCTTTAATTGGATTGTTTTGATATGGCAAACATTTTCTATTTAGTAAGAATACCACAACAATCAAGTTATATTCTTGTTTTTATAAATTAACAAAATTTATTGTATTTCCTTGAGTGTAATTTGATTTTGTTAGCAAAACTATGATTTTGTTAGTGTAATTTGAAAGGTTCACCATCTTTTTAATCTTAAAGCATCTACAATTGGGAAGTGTAAATTCAGAGGTGTAAAGCCATTTTTACATCTCCTTTGACCTTCCGGAGATGTAAATATTATTTTTGCTCCAATGAGTCGGATGCATATTCAAAAATGTAAATTCGATTTTCTTGTATTAATTCATTTTTTGTGTTAATTTTTTTTATGTTATTATTTTTGTGTGTTAGGTTTAATTATTTTTCTAAACTATGACGTAAAAATTTTAAAATTGTGATAAGATATAATTTCATTCCATATGACGTAAATAAAATTAATCTAAACCGTCGGCTTTGATATGGATTTATTTTTCACCATTAATCAGTGTAATTGTTAGTTTCATATTTCAATTTGAATGAAATATGGCCATACATTAGAGAGTTGTTGGAGAAGAACTTTGTAGATTTGCATCATTTTAATAACTTTCTCATTTTAATAAATCTCATCCAAGCCCTGGCCCAACCATTTTAATAACTTCCCTATCATTTAGGCACCTTTCCTCTCTCATCTCTCTTGGGTTTTCTATTATAGGACCCACTTGGCTGGGTGTAAAATTAGATGTATATTTGCATCTTTTTTCCTATATCATGGCTATGATGTACATTTATAGCCGTATACGCCTCTCCATTACAGGACATTCCGATAACCAAATGTGTATATTTGACATACACCTCTATGCAGGGGCGGACATATTAAGGCGCAAGGAGGTACAGCACCTCCACTTGTCGGAAAAACCATTGTAAGTGCTTTAAATTGCCTCTTTGCTCAACTGGTGTACAGATTATCTCATTTCCATTTTGTCCTTTTACTTTTATTTATTTTTATATTACTCTATTTACTTACGTTTACAATGTAAATAAGGATGTACCCCCCATTTGGATTCAAATAAAAATACTAGAAAATCAAATTCCCACCAAATCAAAATATGAAAATTCGGTTTTAGTGCAAAATACTATTTAGGCTAAAAATGATGGCTCATTAAGTCAATATATACTTCATACTAAAATCTCATAAAATCAAGTTTTCTTATTTGATGTATAAGGAATAAAAGCCGCCAAAATTTATCTTGAGAAAATGATTATTCCGAAAAACCATTTTTCATACTTGGTCAATATTGCACCTCCGCTAAAAAATTTCTGGATCCGTCAATGCCTCTATGTACATCTTACCATTGTGGATGCTCTTAAAGCTCACGAAACTTTCACATTTGAGGCATTTTGGGATGAATAAATTGACCAGGGATTTTGCATTTAAGTGAAGAGCACGGTAACACATGTATCTAGAAATGGTTGTCTAGTTTAAGGAAATGCAATCAGAGCCTTCTGAATTGAAGTAAAGACAAGTTTCCCGCAATGGGAAAATGATCGTCGAGCTTTTGAAGAAACAAGTCATTACCACCCAAATTAACCTACACAACAACTCCTAGAAAGTCCTATCTATAAAAACAAACAAAATCATAAAAAGTAGAAATCTCATTCCCTTCTTATACCCCATCCTCGACACTAGCTAGCCCTCACAAGCCACCAATCCACTACTCATACCACCAAGGCCAACCTACCCACCACTCTTATTTTTTTCTCTGTCTGTCTGTCTCTCTCTCTCTCTCTCTCTCTCTCTCTCTCTCTCTCTCTCATAATCGAAATACAAAGAAGCAAAACATACCTTCCAATTTCCATTCATGGACACTCCCAACCAAACCTCAAACTCATCATCTGTGCAAGTCCTAATCCACCCACTTTTTTCACGTACATTCACATCCACTTCCTATGCACCTTCCCAAACCATCTTAAATATTTTAGCAAAAACCTCATGACTCTCCCTCAAATTCCCCATCTAAACTTGGGAGAGGTCCTATGCATGTCCGACCTACTTACTAAACTACCCTTACTAGAAGATTAAGGGCTTGTTTGATAGGAATGATTAGACTAGACTAGCAAAATGTCTGCATTTCAAGTGCATATATTCAAAACATAACATGGATATGTTGCCTAACTTGGAGGGAAAATGGGGACTATCTATAAGAGGTTGTTGTAGGATTAGAAGGGATAAGTTTTAGATCAAACTCTTATAAATAGTCCTCTTTTATCCTCCAAATTAGACAACAATGTCCATATTATGTCTTGATTGCACATGAATTGTAGCCACTTTGCTAGTCTAGTCTAATCCTCCCTAACAAACAAGGCCTAAATGTTTCATTGATGCCGAAAATTCATTAGTCTCCCTTGTAATTAGAACATTAACCAAATTTTCCACATGTAGAAAACATAATAATAATATTTTCTCAAACTTTGCATGCATAAAGTATACAAATATACAATATCACAACAATAACAACATGTTCTTATTCCTTTTAACAACACCATCATCTTTAAATCCCAATAAAAAAAAACACATAAAAGGGTATCCAACCCATCTATCATCCGCAAACAATGCATTCACCATTGTGGTATCGTTCCAATTCTCTTTGAACACTAGTCTAAAGATCAAAATACCAGTAACATGACATATGTGATGACATAAAGAGGGATAAAGAAGAAACATACAAGAATAGCACGAAGCACAATCCAATAAGCAGCCTAAATGAATATTAGGTCACCCAATGTAATGATGAGGTAAGGCATATCAAAAGTCAGCACTAGGAGCCCCCACCATAAAGACTACCAACCCAAGAGAAGTCATTGCACTGAAAAAGTAAAATATGCAATTGTTCATGCTCTCAATGACAAAGGTTTTTCAAAAGAAAAAAAAAATGACACAAATTTTTTACCCAAGAAATTAAGAACGTTCATAGATCATTTATCATATGGTTGATTCATCTTTATTAATTGCATATCTATTCGAAGTTCATTTTAATTTCATCTTAATTATTCATCAAATCAAGTTTTACACTAAATATAAAACTTGCTTCCTATCTTTATTAGGAATGCACTAGCAAAAGGTGCCCATGCGATGCTGCAAGTTTTAAAATTGTATGAAATGTGTATAAAGCTATGAAAATAGCGTTCTATTTATATATACATGAAAATGTAAATAGTGACATCGCTGTTAGTTTTTCAAGTTTTAGTTACAAAAGATAAACTAATAACATGTTTTATATACTGTTTGATATTTTAAAATATTTGGCACATTTTAATAGATCAAGCAGATATAAAAACATCAAAATATGAGAAGTTTTGAGCTGTGCATTGTTCAACATAGCTTGTACAACTGTTTATCTATATGCTATTGGGTCGTAGAAGGGAATTTTTCCTTTTTGATGTATGTTCGAAGGGGATCTGATTGTTGTTGGCTTTGCTGCAGAGCCGACTTATGCTCCTTTTCCTCAGCAGAGATTTTAACTATGTTCCGATAAAGTTAGAAAATGCCATGTGTTAATGTTGATGAATAAAAAAAATTTGAGTTAGGGCAATAACTAATATGATAGAATTAAGTTAAAAAATTAAACATGACAAACAATAATGTAGATATATTAAGCATTGTATTAACTCGACAGACAAAAGTATAAGTTCAATCTGTCAAATCAATTGAAAACAAACTGAGGACAATTGTGACAATTTATTAAAGATGTATGAGAGATTTAAGCAAAAACACTTGAGCTTTAATAGAATCAAATCAAGGAGTGTTGAATCTGTTGTCATCAATTTGGTAAACGACAGATGTTAGTGTAGAGAAATGAGAAAATTTTAGTGAAGACAATGACTATCGTTAAAGAATTAAGGCCAACAACATAAACTGCACAAACATAAATTTAAATAATCTTAAACACCTAATGATCTACAAACATAAATAAGATAACCTAATGACCTAATGATGGATAAGTAAGTTATAGAAGCAGTAAAAATCTATAAACAACCATATAGGAAAAAAGTGCATAGAATAGAAATGCTATCAAATTTATGCCATAATTGAAAGGAAAAAAAACAACTACATGAGGCACCAAATGAACAGAAGGGAAAGCTTTTTGAAATTTAAAGTTAAACCACGTATCATTATAGTAAAACTTTGAATAGAAAAGCTTAAAATTGGGGAAAAAAACAATAGAGTAAGAACACCTCCACCCCAAAGGGCAAGAGCAAGGCAAAGGTAAGGCAATGTTTGTCACTATTCACGTGAATATTGGCAGGCTTACCTTTTTTGGTTCCACCCCAAAGGGCAAGGGCAATGGCAATGGCAAACACTATTCACTTTAATTTATTTTCTATTTTTTATACTTAAACATTTAATTTTGATAAGCTTTTCGAATAATATTTTCAATTGCCACGTGTCACTATTTATTATAAAATTTTCACCTAAAATTTCAGATAACATTTTCGGATAAAATTTTCGAATTAAATTTTTGAGTAAGATTTTCAGTTTCCATATGTCCATATGTTGTTATAACATTCATATCTCAAATTTCAGATAAGATTTTCGGATGAGATTTTCGGTTGCCACATGTCTCATCTCAGATAAGATTTTTGGATATTTATTAAAAAATTCTCATCTCAGTTTTTAGATTATTTTCACCCTCTAAAATTGCGTCATATGTCTCATGTCAGATAAGATTTTTGGA